TAAACTCCATGACTACTAAGTTACACAGCCCTGTAAGTACATTTTAGCTAAAGATAGCAGGGTTCATATCATTTATTTAATCTTCGTAAGCTGTATCCCCAAAATCAGAGATGTACATATACGTACGTTACTCATCTAATGGCAGTACTAAAAAAATGTAGAGCTGAAATGCAATGAGAAACATTAATTCAAACTGGGAATTCTGGAGAAGACTTTTAAAATGCAGACTTTGAGACAATTCTGGAGTATTAGCTGGACTTCAACAGGACAAGAGGGAGAGGAACGGGCTCTGGCATGAAAGGTACCAGGGAGAACAGAAATAAAGGCAAAGGAGAACAGAAACAAAGGCAAAAAGGAGTACAGACAATGTCCAAGAACGGAGGTATTCCACTAAAGCTGAAAAATAGGATTTGTGGGTGGGCACGATATTTCCAGTTTATCTTTTTTTTAAAAACCACTCTAATCTGTCTAACACAACTGACAAACCGTGTCCCTCTTCCTCGACGACACCCCTTTCGTTCATTTCAATGATGCAGAACCTGGACTCTTTCTTGCTCTGACCGTTTCCACTAGTTTCCTCCTTGTTGGGTCTCTAGGTCTGGCTTCTCTAGGCAAACTTTTTTCCCTGTACAAGCACCCATCAGTTATTCTCTTTTACTACTAGTATTCATTGTTATCTACAAGAGGAGCTGGCCAATTTTTCCTGTAAAGGGCCAGAGATTAAACACTTCAGGCTTGGCCGGCCAAGAGGAAAAAGCAAGATATATAATAAGATAGAAAACAAATTTCCACACATTTTTACTGGCAAAAGTCAAAATAAAATAAGTTTTATAATGCAGATGTACTAACATAAAAATGTAATTCTTTTTGTGGGCAAGGGATGACCATTTGCTTAATTGGGTCTCAGCGTCAGTGTTCCCCATCATCACAGTCTGGCTAATGTTCCTCTAAAAGTGCTGATCTATACTGGGAGTTTACGTATTTCATCTGTGAAAATGTCTTCACAAAGATGGCTACTGGTATCAATTCGTGAGCATATAATTTTGATTGAGCATATTCCTCACATGGAAGGTGTCTATAGAATGCTACTGGATTTTTCTCCTGATACTTGTGTGCAAGCATGTTGATACACAGCAGATTAATCACTTCTAACTAAAGGTTAGGTGGAAGGTCGCGATTGCCAGTAACCGGGTTTTGAACTACGGACAAATCCTTAGCACTTGCATCAAATCCCAAAAACTGCTGCTAACTGTATTTTGAGCTTAAAAGGTCTCTCTGCTGCAAATCTGTGTGGAAATAGAAATCTCACTTTTTACTTTTGACGGCATGAGAATCAGATAAAGCAGCTTGACATTACTTGTGATTCCAACAATATTCGCTGTCAAAATGACTTTGCCAGAGTGTAAGTTTTGCATGTAAGTGCTGTTTTGTCATAATTTTAGGTAAAACTTATTTTTAAAACATATCAAGTCTACAGGAAAAGCTAATTTCAAAGCTATTCAATATTTTATACAAATGGTTGAGCGTGAAGTTTTTTGTTCAGAAATGTTTCAATCTTGGCCCTCTGTAACAAAATCTTGACACTGCAAAAGCACTGAATGGCTGAATGTAGAGCAAGTGAGGATATTCAGCTTTGGTTTCTGACAAAAATTCACGGATATGGTAACAGTCATTTCCATTCAGACTGAATGAAGTTCACCAGTGATATTCCTGGTTCAGTAACAAATGAAAGATTCAAGTGTTTGCTGCAAACTGTCTGCTCATTAATAAGACGATGCATATCCACAGGCTCTGGGCACCTAATATTTTTACGTAATTTGTAAATCTGTCTGACTAAGCCTCTTCCTACTCCACACCTATTTTACCACTCTCACTTGTAATACATACTAGCAAATTCTAATGCAGGTTGTAGCAACTTAGGGTTTCCTCAACTTCTCTGAAAATTCGATTGGCTATTATTCCACACAAGCTATTAGTAAAGGCTGATTCCTCAGGACCACAAACTCAGCACAACTCCCCAAGTCACAACAAAAGAGCAGGACCTCTTTCACCTCAAGAGCCAAAAGCAACCACTCAAAATCATTTCCTGGTTTTAAAATCAACTGATGATGTTCCCAACGTCCCCCATTCTTGAAGCAACCGTTCTCACCAAAAGGCTAATAGTGTGAGACAACTTTATTTTCTGTGAACGTTTCTTTGGCTGCAGCAAATGTGATTTAATTCACGCAGTGCTGGTAAATGGCCTTCCTGCCTGCCTAACAACGAGCCACTCAGGAGCTCACTACGGCTCATTTTGTATTTTTGTGAAGAAGGTCTGCTGTGATAAGATACTGTTTTGTATTTTTGACTTTCCTGACTGCTGCCTTCCTGGGAGCTGGGAAGGCTGCGAGGAGGACTCGGCATGGCCCTATGGACGCCGGCCGGTCCAGCAGGCCCGCCGTGGTGTGGCGGCACAGTCACACCAGGCTGGCCTCTAACTTGTTAACAATATAACCCCCACTGCGCTGTGCCTGCAGAGCAGGCCTATGGGAAGTCCACGCATGCACTATTAATGACAAGAATAATAGTGTCACAGGATCGCAATACGTACGGCATCAGAAATGCTATCAAGTTGTAAATGTCACTGAAATTTGTAGGCCACTGAACAGTGCACAGCATCAAGAGAACATGCACGTGTTGTGTTCCCCTGGGTCATGGGACCAGCTGCTGTCGCATGAGGCCCACTCTGCCATCATCGTGCAAAAGCAGCCACTGAAAATGTACAAATCAGCAGGCATGGCTTAGTTCCAACAGAACTTTATGGACACTGAAGTCTGAATTTTATATTACACATGTCACAAAATATTCTTTTAATTTTTTTCAAATATTTAAAAATTCTTAGCTTGTGGGCTGTACAAAAATAGGTGGTGAGCCAAATTTGTGCTGCAGGCAGTAATCTGCCAAAAACTGATCTATAAGATAAGGACTCCATAAGCTATACGGTGCTGTTTACCCTCAGGAGCACCGGACTTAGATGCCTAACCCACTCCGTGGATCACACGACAATTCAAACCCAACACATACTAAATTAAACCCATCACCTTCCCCCTGTCCTAAATTTTCCCTTCCCAAATATATTTCCCAACTCAATTCATCAACCACTAAGCACTGAATCCCCCAAGTCAGATGCTGGAAAACTAAGAATCATCCACACTCCTCCCTGAAGCCCTTCTAAACTCAGAACTGGTCCTAGCTCCTCAGCGTGCTCTACAGTCTGGAAGTACCATTCTGTACTCCCTCCCTTCCACTGCTGTGATCTCACTGGCTTCCTCTCATCCCTCAAACACCCCTCTTGTCCCCTCCCACCACAGACTCTGCACGGTCCTAAAACAGCCGTTTTCACACTTTGCTCTGTGAGGGACACCTGAGTGATCATGAGGGGAGGCAGAAGGAAGAAGTGAAGAGACAAGTCAGGGCCGTTCCATTTCTGTATGCCTTACTGTCTGGGCTTGCAGATATAAAATCATTCTAAAAAATACACAAGAGTTCCATGACCCAAAAACCCCACTATGTGAGAACCATGGCTGTGAAAGTCTAATTTCTTTACCGTAATATGTAAGGTGCTATATGATGTGACTCTCTCATCTCTCCGCCCCCATCTCCAAGCCCCTTATTCCACCCTCCATCAGTGCGAACATAACAAGCTTCAATCTCCACACTTTGGCTCACCAAGCCCTCTCTGCCTCTTCTCCCTTCTTGGTTTGCTAATTTATATTTGTCTTAGAAGAGTCCTCATTGACTTCATGCCTTTGAATAAATGTTATACTTTCTTCATCTGAAATAATCTGAAAATATTATTTACTTGATTTTGGACTTATTGTCTGGAACAGTAAGAAGAGAGATCCTTTGTCTTTCTCACTACTGAATCTCCAGAATCTAGAGAAATGTGCCTCGCATATGGCACATATCCAATAAACATCTAACACGTGAATAAGAAATCTCATTAATTTTTTTTAAAGATTTTATTTATTTATTCATGAGAGACAGAGAGAGAGAGAGAGAGAGAAGCAGAGGGAGAAGCAGGCTCCCAAGGAGCAGGGACCCCGATGCGGGACTCAATCCCAGGACCCCGGGATCATGACCCAAGCCGAAGGCAGACGTCCAACCATCTGAGCCGCAGGCACCCCTCATTAATTTTTTTTTTAAGATTTTATTTATTTGAGAGAAAGAAAGCATGAGCGGGAAGGGGGGAGTAGCAGAGGGAGAGAGATAAGCAGTCTCCCCGCCGAGCAGGGAGCCCAATGCGGGACTCGATCCCAGGACCCTAGGATCACAACCTGAGCCAAAGGCAGATGCTTAACAGACTGAGCCACCCAGGTGTCCCGATCTTATTAATTTTATAACCCAGTACACAGTGTTGTGTCTGGCACGCAGCATGTATGCTAAAAACCATGAAATGAAAAATCAGGCCCGAAGATGAAGAGCCTCCAACCCAGCAGTGGCAGGTTCCACCTTCACTTCCTGTTCCCTTGTTTATCCCTCAATCTTCAATTGGCAGTGCTTCTCATATTTTGATCTTCCTCTGGCCTCGTTCCCAACTTCTTCCATCACGTGGTTCATTGATGTCCATATAAAATCAGATGCAGCCTCGATTTTAAATGTCGCTCTCTACTTCAAGCAGCACATGGCCACTTTGAAAAATACGTAAAATTCCAAATAGAATATTACTAATAAAATATATTGGGAAAATCATGAAAAGAAAAATCCTGAGCACCTCTTATAGAATTTAAATGCTTGGATTTAGTTTGGACTTGGTTATTAAAAAGCATAAAAAATTCCAGTGGAAAGCTATCAAATTACCCGGGGCGGGGGGGACATAATAAAGACACAATTTATATGCTGTGAAATTCAGTGGTTTTCTAAATCACAACTACATTTACATAATGCTTAAAAGAGAATAATGCTAAATTCTGCCAAAAAAATTTAATAAGAATATAAAAACATATAAAAATGATTCTTACTAAGTTATTGTCATCCTGGAAAGCATAATGCAGAGTTGTAATCCATTTATTATCTCCATTCACTAATACATCCCTTTCTTCACGAAAACATGCTGTCTGAAAAGGAAAAACAAAGACGTTTTTTAATCAGAGGACACTTTATGTAAAATATATTATGCAAACAACTGCTTAATGTGTTTATTATACTTTCTGTCCTAGAAAAGGAAAATGTTTATTATACTTCCTGTCCTGGAAAAGGAATACATCCTGATATGACTTTCAACACGGAGAAAGTGGACAATGGGAATAGTACACTTGAAAACATTTTGTATTAAAAAATACTGCTATAGTTAAAAAAAAAAACCAAAAAACAAAAAAAGCACACATGCATTTAACGACCACAGTCCAACCTACCATTTAGATAATATAAACGTTAACATTTTACCATCTCTACTTCTGTTCTTTTTAAGAAATAAAATACAAGTAAATTGTATTTACTTGCATTTCCCTGCCTCCCTCCTGATAAAATGAATAATCTGTAGTATATACTATGCTCTTTCTTTCATATGCTTTGATCACACATATATGTGTCCAAAACAACAGAACTGTTTTGCATTTTGAAAGTTTACATGAATGTTATAATTGTATCTATCCTTCTGCAACTTGATTACTTCTTATTCAATGATGGGTGTTTTCCTTTCAATTGCTACAGCATTCGCTTGTCTGAATATACCAGAATTTATGTATGCAAACCCCAACCAGGAAAACATAGGTTACTTCCAATTTTGTTTTTATGATGTTGCAATGAATATATTGGTACAAATGTACAAGAGTCTCTCCAGGGTATATACTTAGAAGTTGAAATGCTAGCTACAAGCATTTCCCACTTTACCAGACATAGCCAATTTTCTCTAAATGTGTATTGCTTACTATCCTCACCCCAGTGTAGAAATCTCTTACTCCCCCCGCCCACATCCTCAACTGCATTTGGCATTATTAGACTTTTAAGTGTGTCAATACGATGGGTGTAGAACCGTACCTCACTCTTCTTTTCATGAACATATTCCTAATTCCCCGTGCAGATAAACAGCTCTACACAGGCCTACAGGATATCTGAACTTTGTCTCTGAATTGTTCATTCCCTTTGTCCATTTTCTCTAATGAATTGTCTTTTTCTTTTTGATTTGTGAAAGTTTTAATTTACTCTGAGACCGTATTTCCACTCTTATAAAGGTACATCCTGAGAACCTTAGAAATGTGTGGCTAAAAAAAAAAATTTTATATGATACATTATAATTCTGTAATCTATCATTTTTAAACTTTTAATTTTAAAAATCTCCACTATGTCAGCAAGTTCAAGAAGAACTGAAAGGTAAAGTGAAACCTAAGTCTCCCAAGTCATACCCCATACACACACAGTCACGTGTGTCCAGAGGTCACCACCAATAACTCTGCTGAGTATCTTCTCAGAAAATTTGTCTCTGTAAGCATGAATATGCGCACGCATGTGCACACATACAATATTAACATGGTGCCCCATTTCCCCTAGCTTTTCTTTTCTTGACACAAATCAGATCACGTGCTCCGTAAGTTGTTTTCTTCAAGTAACGATATACCTGAACAGTTTTCCACACCAGTAGAGACCCACCTACCACCTAATTCTTCTTAATGGCTGCACCAGATTCATGCACACTGAAAAATCATCACGCAGTATTCTATCGACAGGACGTGCTTAGTTACTTATTTCCCCATAAAATAAATTCAACAGCCATGATATACAAAACAATTAACATTAATATCCCCTAATCAGGTACCTTAATTTTTTTTATTACGTTATATCACCACACATCATTAGTTTTTGATGTAGTGTTCCATGATTCATTATTTGCGTATAACACCCACTGCTCCATGCAGTATGTGCCCTCTTTAATACCCATCACCAGGCTAACCCACCTCCCACCCCCCTCCCCTCTAGAACCCTCAGTTTGTTTCTCAGAGTCCATAGTCTCTCATGGTTCGTCTCCCCCTCCGATTTCCCCCCCTTCATTTTTCCCTTCCTGCTATCTTCTTTTTTTTTTTTTTAAACATATAATGTGTTACTTGTTTCAGAGGTACAGGTCTGTGATTCAACAGTCTTACACAATTCACAGCGCTCACCATAGCACATACCCTCCCCAATGTCTATCACCCAGCCACCCCGTCTCTCCTACCCCCCACCACTCCAGCAACCCTCAGTTTGTTTCCTGAGATTTTCCATGTATTCCCATAAATTTTATTTGATCAAATAAAACTTCCAAAGTCATGCATGAAACAGCACCAGAGAAAAATTTAAAAACAATTAAAGCTTAAACCAAATCAATGGGCAGTTTTACCTGACAATTCGATTATTAAAATCCACAACATTATGCTTTGGTTCCCTTTGAGGGAAAAGAAAACCACTTGACACATTCACTGCTAAGTTGTGTTTTAGAATTTAAGTGACCCACGATTCTCATTTGCCGCTAACAGTTCTGAGAGGGGTAAAGTTGGTCAGAGCCCAGAAAGACTTTTTGTTCCTGACTTTATCTTATTATGACAGCTTTCTGGAATCTCACAGACATTCCAGCTAAATTCTAATAAACATCTGATTAGGGACTTCAAACTCAAAAAAGCTCCAAAGACATGTTGTCAAAAGATTAAACTTTAGTACATTCTCATCTATTCTAAATTGTTTCAGTGAAAAAATAAATTTTAAAAAATAAAAAATATAAACTATGACCTAAAACTTCAAACACATATAAGAGAGGAGTAAAACCCCCTCTTCCCCACAACATCCTCATCAACCAACTTCAACAATGACGTTATCATTCAATCTTGTTTCGTCTACACCCTCACCCCCTCAAACCCCATCCCGCACCCTTCATGTACCACCACCCTCCCTCCTCACACGTGTACACAAGCGCACATATGCACACGCTCAGGGGTTTTTTGAAGCAAATTCCAGACATCATGTGACTTTATCCGTAAGTATTTAGGTATTCAACTATCCCTATTAATGCCTCAGATATTGAGTTTAGATGTAAAGCACCTTGTTCTTTTCTGCTTCAGTAGGTCATGTTGTCCTCAGTTGTCACAACTAGGGGGTGAGGGGGTAATGGCAATCTACTGGGAAGAGGCTGCTACACATCCTACAGTGCATAGGACAGCCCCCACAAGGAATCATCTGGCCCCAAATGTCACAAGTGCCACTGCTGAGAAACCCTGTTCCAAACAGATATTAACCAAACCATGATGCATGTGCACCACAAGGTTCATGAAGTTATATCAAGGACTCCACATAGATAAAGGATATAATAAGGTCTACTTCTACCAAAAAAAAAAAAAAACACTAAACAATTTTTTAATATCCTCCTGTAAAAATAGAACATCTGAGTATATGAGAATGTAATAAATATGTAGGAGGGGTTACTGGAGGTCATACAGCTTCTTCAGATGCAGTCACAGATCGGGAGAAGGGAAGGGACTGCTGATGCACTAACACAGTTTGTGAATGATGAACTGGCAGCAACAGCAACTGCTGTACCCATAAGGTTAGTTAGCAAATATTCAGCTGCCCAGGTACAGAAAGAGAGAGGGTATCCTGCTACCTTCCAGTGATGCACGTCCCACTAGTTATATATTTATGATATACCTTACATGGAAATAAATACAGCCAATAGGCTGGAGGTATAGCTTTGAAAAAGCGTTTAAAGCATCAACAACGCACAGGTTAAAAATCGAGACATTTCACTGCTCATCTGTAAATTATTAAGCATCATTGGTAGGCCCAGTTTTCCAAAGCTGGATAAGTCATGGTCAGAATAGAGGTTTTATTTTTAACATGTGTTTAAAAAAGGACTTGATAACCCAAGCATAGAAATACAACTCCACTCTACTTTAAAATGAATCTCTCTACAAAAATTTCAATGTAGAATTTCTTCCTAAAAGAGGTAAGTTTCAAGTAGTTTGAGAAGAGTTCCTTTCAACTACTGAACCAGCCTTGTATCCCTGAAGTAAAACCCACTCGGTCGTGTTGTATGCACGAGTCGTGTTGTATGCACGTGTTGTATGCACATTGCTGAATTCTATTTGCTAACATGTTGATAAGGATATTTGTATCTATGTTCATGAGGCACTTTGGTCTTTAATTTTCTTTGTATGGTCCCTGTCAGGTTTTTCTATCAGAATAATATGGGCTTCACAGAATGAGTGTTGCTCCTCAGGCCCCAAGGTCCATCTCCTCCTCTCTGCCTATCAGAATCTCCTTAAATGTTTTTTATATAATGTCGAGTCTTTAAAACTGTACTTAATGGAAGGGGTAAGAAGAAATACATCTGTTCCATTTCACCCCAGAAAGAGAATATATTAATGTTTTTTTAATTCAACAAAATAATTTATTTAATTTCCAACTCCTTGTTTTATCTTCAATTTTGCCACTTCTGTAATGAAAGCTAACCCAGTGATCCTTCCTTTTTCTTCTACTTCTCCCCAACATACTAACTTCACAGATAATAGTGGAAACTTTAACTCAGTTTTTTAAAACTTCTAATGCTGAAACACTAAACTGACTACAATTATGATTTCTGTGAAACAATTAGAACAGACTTATTTACTCTTTCTTACTAATAAGACTTGTTGCTCCAGCTGCTGGCGATGCTGCCAGCCCCCTCAGGGTCTGCCTCAGCTGCAGAAGTTCTACGATCCCAAGGCCATGTCCAGCTGGAGGTGGCCTGGAGTCAGTAACTGAATGAGGCACGTGCAAAGGTAAGTCTTTGGGCCTCGTGTGGGGCTCTGAAGGACCATTTCTGCTCCACAGCTCTCTGTTGGACAGTTTGACTTCCCCTGAAAATGATGTCTCACCCTCTTCCCCTTCCATCAGTGCCAATTTCAGAAGAAGACCCTAATTCAATCTCACTGCTGACTACCTGGAAAATCCAATCAATGACAGGAAGGCAAGTCAGCCTTAAGGAAATTCAAAGTAAAGACTGAAGTTATTGAATATAAAGGACCCTGGCACATATGCCAGAGAGTGACATAAAAGTTTCCATATACTTTTCTCAACAGGATACTATTACATGGAGATGAGCTCTGGGAGGCAGAGAGGGGCTGCACTGGTTGGGGGCAGTCGAAGAGGACTTCAGCTTTATCTGTAATGTACTACTATTCGTTTTACAAATAATGTATCTGCACTTCACTGGTGCAGTGTTTTTCAGGAGACACACAGAAAACAAGACCAAAAGCAAAAACGTGACCCAAAAAAAACCAAACAAACAAACAAAAAAAACGTGACCGAAATGTTAGTCATCGATTCTAGGTGACAGAATGTAAATGACTATAAGTTTTGTCTTTGTGTTTTGCTATATTTTTCAAATTTCCCCAAAGAAATGAATAATGAAATTTCTTACTACCGCCACACCCATCATCAAGGGAACCATTTTTGCTTTTCTCCATATGTTCGCGTTTTTTTTCAGATTGCTACCAGTATTGGTGGATAAAGAAAGATTTCTAAGGACTAATTTCTCATTAGAGAAATCTTACTAACCTCCAGAGCTACTGTTCAGCCTATGCAACAGTCTGATCCTCCTACAAGTTCAAATACTGAAATACTTCCAGACTGAGGTCCCCGAGGGCCCTACCCCATCTGGCCACTCACCATGATCTCCCACGGCAGAAGACCCCCAGAATCCCCCCAAATCTACGTGTAACATCAGTTCTGACCAGACCATACCAGCTATGAGATATTTTTAACATTGCTCCAGCCAATCTTTCCCTCGTACCTAGCATCAACATAAAAACCCTAGCAATTCTTGGAAGAGCAGATTTTGCTACCATCCTCTAATAATATAAAAAGCATAAATTTAACTGTATAATTAGCAATCAAGAGACTTCTTAGAGGGCACATTCAAAACTCCTGCTGATTCCACTTTGAGCAGAACACAGATAAATACAGAATAATATAAACGAGTTACATCAAGTTGGAAATCCATTATTGCAAATTTTCTTCCTATAAAATAAACTGGTTTCCACACCTCTTTTTCACATAAATATACAAGCCCCACATTTGGTTTTCAGGCAATATGAACTAAGCCTCACGAATTATGACTTTTTAATTTTTTTTACAAATTGTAACTTTTATCGTCACTATATCAAAATTGTACATTGTGGAACTTGTCTCTTAGGTCTTAAAAATAATGCCACACAGATACGACGTTAATGATATTTAAGGATCTACTGGCTTTATAATTTTATAGGTCTCTAAAATTATTTCTGAAACATTATTTAAACTTTCTAATAATTAGAATCTTACCTCAGCTCTTTTCAGCATTTCCCATTTGTTCAATATTTTCATGGCAAATACCTTATCTGCATTTTTTAGTTTCACTACAGCAACCTAGAAAAGGAAATACAACTTTTAATATATGATAATGTAACAAATAAAACTTTTTTCAGTCATCCATTTTCCTTTTTCCTTTCTGTAAGAAAATAAATACCAACATTATCAATGATTTCCATGCAGTTCATACTCTAAGATCCGAAATCAAATAATATTGTCAGTTGAAAAAGTTATATTAGTCAACATACCAAATAAATAAATGTACTTTTTAACCCTATATCAAGTGATTGTATATTATATCCTCCTTTTCAAGTTGTCTACCCTGGAATTTAAACTCAACATCTACTCTCACTAGGAAATTGACTAAAATGTACAACATTGAAATAACTAGAGCTTAGTGAATACCGTGTGCCAAATTCCAACACGATGCTATAGGGAAGGCAGCTGCCAAAACAAATATGTTTCGTGGGAATCAAATAATATAAAATAAACTGAAAATGATATTATTTTTCACACCACATATTCTTACCCACTGTACAACCCCCATCTCTCTCTCTCTCTCTCTCTCTCACACACACACACACACACACACACACACCACCCCTAAAGATCAATTAGGGCTAACAGCTTGACAAATTATAGACTTCACACATCCCTTTCAACATTAAAAGGAACAAATATTTTTTGTATTTTGTATTTTAGTTATGGATCAAAAAACTGTCAAATATAAATAAATAAGCCTCAACAAACTGATCCCATTGCTGTTTCTACCTCTCTGCTTCAGTGTGACTAGCTAATCTCAGAGGGCCCTTCCAGCTCACTGGGGACGCTGCAGGGCTGAGAAGGCACTGCAGAGGAGGAGACCAAGCTTGTTTCCAGTTCCTGGGGGCTGGGAAGAGGAAGACAAGTACTACCCTAACATGCAGAAGGAGTGAACAAACTATATACAGCACGTCTTCAAATAGTTCAAAGATTGCCGAGGATAGAGAATAGGTTTAAACTCAAGTGTTGAAAATGTTAAAATCTTAGTGGAAAATGTGCCTATTAGGAGCATTTAATAAATTTTTATATTTGGATTAGATTGCAAAAGTAATATGACATATAATTAAAATAACTGTATAATACTATATAAACTAGACTATTTCTTGGTAATTGTCATAAATGGTTATAATGACTTGTGATTATAGTTTTATCAGTTAAAATGGTGGAAAAAAAGAAGAATAGCTCAATTTCAAGTGCAATCACTTTAGTCTTCAGTCATTTCTGGTCATATCTGTGGAAATGATGGGTCCGTTAAATCGTTCTCCCAATGGGTTTGTGCTTAAAGAAAGGGGGCTGTCCATGACACAGAAACAACCTGAATGTCCATCGACAGATGAACAAAGAAAATGTGGCACACATATACAATGGGACATTATTCAGCCATAAAAAAAGAAGGGAATCCTGTTTTTATGACAACATGGATGAAACTGGAGGGTATTATGCTAAGTGAAATATGTCAGACATAGAAAAACAAATACTGTATCATCTCATTTATATGTGGAATCTAAAAGAGTTCACCTCATAAAAACAGAGAATAGAACGAGGGTTGCCAGGGGCTGGGGGAGATGTTGGTCAAAGGGTACAAAGTTCCAGTGATAAGATGAACATGTTCTGGGGACGTGATAAACAGCATGGTGACTATAGTTAACAGTATTGTACTGTATACTTGAAAGTTGCTAAGAGAAAAGATCTTAAATGTTCTCACCACAAATTAAAAAAAAACACCTAATTAAGTGAGGTGATATTAACCCTACTGTGGTAATCATCTTACCATATATATATGTATCAAATAATCACTTTGTACACCTTAAACTTCCACAATGTTATATGTCAATTATATCCCAAAAAAGATGGGGGAAAAATAACAGGGGCTGTAATAAAGATCCAAACTCTTTGAAAGGCTAGAAACACAAGTTTAGCTGCTCTGTAGACTCACATTATATGTTGAGAGTGCAAACAGACAGACAGGAGCGCTGAGCTCAACATGCTTACATTCAGGACAGGAAAGAGATGGCTTAAGCCATCCTTATTCTGATTTAGGGAAGACTGAAAGACTCTAACACTTAAGATTTCCTCTCCTTAGGTCCTTGTGAGAAGAGTACTCCTAGCTGTACGTCTCACCAGTTCTCTGCGTTTGAGGCTATAAGGATCTGATGATAACTGGTAGGAGTAATGGTAGTACTACCCAGCAACACATAACTGAGTTTGCTCTAAATGCTGGATACTCTTCTAAGAGTTTTATGCAGGTCCACAATCCCTTACCTGCAATTCTAAAGCCAAATGGTTTTCACAATTCATTTGGCAGCAGGTACTGACATCGGGCTAATTATAGTTTTTTGGGTTTTGGTTTTTTAATCTCATTTAGTGTAAAGACAAACATGCTTCACTGTAGAAACCCTAACGTGTCTGCTTTTGAGGTGCTGCTCCAAACCCCAACAGGAGTCCGTTATAAAACAGAGCATATGCACTAAATTATCTTTCTAAAATCCAAAAAATTTTGATGGAACCCAAACCACCTCTGGTTTATAGAGCAGTGCAGGGAATGAGCATGTCCTGAACACTCAAAGGCTGAGCTAGCATTTACTGCGGCTGTTCAGCGTAGCGGTAATAGCATGCGCTCTGCAGCCGACTACTCAGGTTTGAATCCTGCCTTTGCCATTAGCTGTGTAACTCTGGGCAGATAACGTAACCTTTCAAAACTTCAGTTTTCTCATCAATGTAACAGCGTTACTAATAGTACTCACCTTATATAATTATAGTAAAGATTAAAATAATTAATACAAGTATAAAGTGCTTACCACTTAGCACTGTTCAATGACCCCAGCTATTATTATGTGGCAGGTATTGTGCACATTCTAGCCCAATCTCTTAACCGTCGTTTGCCTTACCCCCAACACGTAGCAGACATTCTACATCCCAAATTATTAAATTCCTTTAACTGTGAAATAAACTCCAGTGTCTTCAACTTCTAATAACTTTATACCCCTGGCACATAGAAATATAGCTAGGAATATCCTCAACTGAAAATACATACAAATAAAAATGAAGCCACAACATTTACTATAGGGTGGTTTCCAAAAGTAATATATTGGGAATAACTTAAATATTCTGAAAGATGAAATTTAGTGAATATCTCCCAAAACAGAAAATTATTCATATTTTCAAAATATTGTTAAAGAATACTATTTGATAGGCAAAAATGCAGAATATACCACTTGCAAGAAGTTTATTAAAGTTTGCACACTAATCATTTTTTCTGTATATACACAAAATACATATCTATGGATTTCTATGCCAGATGAATACAGAGAAAGATAGGCACCAAAATGTTTAAAGATCAGGTATTTCTAGGTGATATGATTTCTAGTCACCTTTCTACATTTTCTGTATGGAACGTGCAAAATTTGAAGCATGGAATGGAATGTGTGAAATACCACACCTCACCCTGGTCAGGAAGTGACCGCTAATTACTGGGATACGTAGTGTGCTGGTGGGAGCCCAAATGAGAGCCACTCTGCACACGTGTGGTCATCGGAAGGGCCACGTTGCTGTGCAGTGAAAATCATTCTCCATGCTACTTTATGACCGGTTCATAAGCTGCCTTAAATCTTCTCTGGAATGAGATAGGATGTAGTGAAATTCTAAAATGTCAGTTCAAGAAATATTCTTGAATTACTGAGTTGATGACACAGTAAGACAAGACCATGAAGCTGATGAAATGCTAAAACAAAATAAACCTCATCTTGCTTTTCTCCTCTAACACTACAGATCATTTTCATGTTCGTGGTAGTAGAAGGAAACTCAGAAAGAGGCTTCTCCCTGGACTCTAAACTTCAGGTTCTAGATTCTCAAGAACCACAGAAAACTGACATACAAGAGGGTATGTATGTTAAAATGCCCTTCCTTACTTAATTTGATCAAAAGAAAAAGTACTCTTAGTATGGACTTGAAGACCATAAATTTAACACAGAACAAAGATGTACTTTTTAAAAACGCCAAACAAAGAGATGTCTGTTTAAAGGTTTCATATTGAAAGCACTATAACATTAGAAAAACTGCAAACACGACAGGAAAAAGTCAGTAGGTGACACATGTCAACAAATGAGTTCTTACAGTTTAAGTGTCTGCACGTACAGCTACAACATACAACCTAGGATTTATCACACTATATTAAATAGAATTTCAATCTCCAATAACAGTTCCCATGCAGTTCTCAAATCTAGTCTACACTCAGCACTTCCAGAATTCACCATACCTCCTCTGGCCCATCCCAACAAACCTGCTTTTGAGTCCTGCCCGGATGGCCCTACCGGCCCCTCCACTTCTGCCCTTAACCCCCATGATCTATTCTCAACCTGGCAGTCACAGTGATCCTGTTTAAACGTAGCTCAGATGGTGATACTCCTCTGCTCCAAACTTCCCACCTCTCTCCAAGTAAAAGTCAACCTGCTATAACTTATAAGGCCAACATATTCTGGTCGTCTGACCTCCTAGATCTCACATGCTCCCTCCTCCTAGCTCACTCTGCTCCAGATACACTGGTCACCTGGTTCAATCCCAACCCAGGGCCTTTGCACTTATTCCCTAGGTCTCAAGTAGTCTCCCCCTGTAAAGTCACATGGTCTGCTCTCTCAAACTGAACTGAGAAGGGTCCCTTCCTGAACGGTCACTGCCCTGTCACACTTTCTATACCATCTCTCGCTTCCCTCTCCCCTTTGCTCTTATTATTTAACAAACTGTTAGGCATCAATATTATCGGCTTCAAGTACACTACTAAACTGATACTGAGACTCAAGTAAAAACAAGGCATTATGGGACACCTGGGTGGCTCAGTTGGTTAAACGACTCTTGGTTTCAGCTCAGCTCATGATCCCAGGGTTGTGGGACTAAGCCCTAAGTCAGGCTCCATACTCAGAGGGGAGTCTGCTTGAGATTCTCTCTCCTTCTGCCCCTCCCCCTGCTCATTCTCTCTCTCTAAGATAAATATTTTTTTTAAAACCACAAGGCATTATGGT